CAAATCTCCATCCTCGTAAATGGCCATTTAAAACTTTCCTTATTTTTCTGGTAACTTGTGAAGTTTCTCGTTTCCTAATCGATAATAGAACTGTAACGTCTCGAGTGGCCTAAAAGTCGATTAACCATTCGAGTTTCTGGCTCCATACAAAAAAAAATTACAACGCTTTAACGCTTTGGCCGATTACCAAATTACCGGGTTGCTGGCCAAAGATGTGGTTAGCTTACTTTTGGGCCATCCCGCTTTTTAATTTTAAATATTAATGAAGAGAGTTGCGATGTGTTCAATGTGTCCCGAAATCACGTGTTTCGGTAGCCCGCTAACGCTCGTCTAATGAAACCCATAACTTTACTCTGGTAATAATTTATAGGGTTCTTTTAGAAAAAGTAATATTTTCGGAAGCTTCGGGGTTAATTCCCGGCTGTGGTATACAAATGAGAATAACAGAACGCGCGGTTTCTGTAAATTTGAATTCGGCCAATCAGAAGCGAGTAATTTAAACGTCAAAACCAATCAAATTTTGCTATTAATATTTCGTTTCGGAAATACGATTGGAGTAACGAACGTAGGTGGGTTTACTTACAGCGGAACATCCAATCAACGAATAGATAATAAATTAAATTAAAATAATTAAAATTTTACGTTTAAATGTATTTAATGTGTAGCGTACGAATTATAAGTCGTGTAGTTAAAGTCCTTGAATATTTATAAGTGGAACGAGTAGGAAATTAGTCTATATAAATATATACTGAACATTATAAGTGTAATAGCTTCCTTATTTGAATTAAATTCAGAAATAATTATGTCCTCCGTCGACATACTTTTGTGGAATTTCTTCAATTTTAAATTTATTATTTCACGTAAACTTTTTAATTTAAAATAAGTGGCCAAGTGAACAATAAACTTTAATTTATACTCTCCCGTATCTGTTATAACTAAGGGAAATTAAGATGTTAGTGTTTGTGGGGGACACGATTTTGTCACCCATTTTGAATCTTAATAACTCTCGTGCTTTTTGTCGAAAATTTCCGAAATTTTGCAGGGAGATTTGTGTATTAGGGGAATAAATGTTATTAAATTTTGGTGATTAAAGGTTAAGGGAGTGGAGAGATAAAGGAAGTCGCGTGTCGTATCTCCAGTAGGGTCTAACTTAATGACGATTTTATTCGTTATTAACATTTACAAATTTTTATAAAACTCGTCTCCCTCCTTAGAGTTAAGCTTTTTATCATTTTATAATAAAAGTTTTTAAATAAAAATCTCGCAACAGATGGCGCCACACACTATTTTAAATGTTTATTCTGGGAAAGTTAAGCAACTTTTTGCTGGATATATGTTTTTTATTTTTCTGGTGGATCTTGCCAGACTACTATTTTATAAAATTTTCTCGCGTAATCTCTCGTATAATAATAATAAACTGTAATAATCCATAATCTATAGGCCTATATATAATCGTTTGATAATAATAATCAGTGCAGAGCCCAAACGGTTAGGAGTTGAAAGTTGAAATTTGGTACACAGTTAGGGTAAGTCACGAAAACGTACACTAAGAAGGGATTTTTCGAAATTCCCCCGGGAGAGGGAGAGAGATAGTATTAAGGCTTCAACAATGAAAGTGTTAAGTAATAATGGAAGTGTTAAGAGAAAGCAACGTGCAAGATTTACAGGCACAGATGCGTTTTTTTTTTTTTTTTTGCATTTTTGCAGGAAATCGAACATATTTTTAGACCTATGTAAAAATTCTCTAATTAGTCTGAAAACGGGAGGACCCAATTCTTGCATTCT